GAGAGCGAAACAGATTGAGAGAGGAGGAAAGGAGAGAGAGAGCGAAACAGATAGAGGAGGAAAAGAGAGAGAGAGAAAGAGAAGGCAGAGAGACAGAGAGAGGAGGAGGAAAAAAGAGGAAAAGAACAAAATGAGCGAAAGAACGTCGCAAAATGACACTTTGTTGCTTTTTTTTATCTTCGTCTTTTCTTTAAAGCATCGAAGGGGAATCTGCATTTGCCCCCCCCCCCACTGCCCTCCCTCCTACTCCAATTTTTACCCCTGGAAGGAGGTCCGGCGGTTTTGGCGGTTATGGCGGTTACGGCGGTTATGGTGGATATGGTTGTTCCCATGGATATCTTTATGGACGTCGCTATGGTTGAGTTTATTCGGCCAAGATGATCGCTTCGGTGGAACTGGGCGCGGAGATTGTCTAATTGTCAGTTAGTTCTCTTCTGAAATTGGACATGCTATGGTATCACATTGTATTACCCAATTCCCTTTCTTCATCTTTTTCTCCTCCTTCATTCTCCCTTTTTTTCTTCTTCTGCTACACTCTTACCACATTGATATGCATTGTAGTAGGTTATGACTTAAAAAAATATATATATATAGCAGTTCTATAGACCTGATAATGCCTTATATACTTATTCATATACCTATGTATATATTGATTCTACTTGAAAAGAGTCTCTTTGAGTTATATCACTGGATTGAAATCTTAAGTCTGCTTATTTGTTTATACGGAATATGTGTGCTTGTAGTATATATATACATATGCATACATATGTGTATGTATGCATATCTATCTTCCAATTTGGATTACTGGGCGTGGGTCGAACTTGATTTTTTCCCCTTTTCTCTTTTGGCATTGCTTGCCACCAGATACAAAGGCGGTCTCATCCACGTACAAGCTTGGGGGCAAATCCGTAAGGGAACAACATACTATAAATCATAGGATGATCTTTCTCTTCTTCGTCTTCGTTTCTCCTTTGTCTTTCTTCCTCTTTGCCTTCTCTTTTTCTGTGTCTTCTTCTTCGTTGTCCTTCTTCGACTTTGTTCTTCTTTCATCTTTTTGTTTATTTCTCTTTTGGCTTGATTTTGAACCTAGCTGATGGGAGAATTCACACTTTAGTGGACGGGGAATATGTGCATAATCTTGCAATTGTAAATGCAAGGCTCAAGCAGTGCAACAGTAATATATACACATAAATGTATTAGTTAACTGTTACCTCCTAAAACGGCCAGTCACAGATAAGAATGGTCCGCAATTCACATTTTAATGTAACGGATCAACAATCATGCCACGAACTTTTGCTATGCGATCCTTCTTTACACTGCTAGAGGAGTTTTACTTGAGTCTCCCTAAAAACAGGATCTTGTGATGTTCTCTTCTGAATGCGCTTAAACATGACTCATGTTTAACTCATGACACATGTATCCAGCAAAGAGGCATGGACTACTGGAGTCCGTTTTTAGTCGATCTGCATAGCAGGAGATATGCTTTGTTTTCTTGTTCTACTTGTGTATCTCCAAGTTTTCTTTGGGCAAGTTACAGTGCCTTCTTTAATCGTTAAAATTTGTTTAGAAAAATCTACTCGACCCTGCCTATAGGGCGTAAGATATGCTGAACTAATTTGATAATTTGAGAGTGCATTCGACTTGTGAATGGTTCTCCTTAAAATTACAGTACTTAATGAATGTATTTGAGTCTAGCTTTGAGTCGTCTTAAAATTACTCACCAGTCTTCTTGAATCTGTTAATTTACACGACTCACTTAACATGAAATATAGACAGCAGAATGTGCAGTTTGTTGCATACAGTAACAGTAATGTATATCATAAAGTTTATTACTTAGATAGCTGAGTTTACGATTTAGGTTTCACTATCATAGATGTTTGTGTGGATAAATGGTCTTAAGATTCAAGTCAGTTTTATTGAAAGTAAGAATACAGAACAAAGCTTCAGCGACAGGTTCGGGTCATAAGTCCAGCCACCGCGCACTCCTTATCCATAGTAGTTGTAGCCACCATATGGGTTGTAGTTGAAGTTGTTGTATGGGTTGTAGTAGGGCCTGTTGAAGTTGTTGTAATAACCTCCATACGGATTAGCGAACCCAGACACAGCGCCCTGGAAAGCACCCTGAGCGGCACCGAGGAGATTGCCTAAGAAGAACCTGTTTTGGCCCTGTCCTTGGCGGCCCTGTTGGGACTGAGGGAGGGCCACGCACAGGCACACAACGGCCAACACCACAGCCAACTGGACCACGTGACGTAGCATCTGAGGACAGAAACGCGTTAGGACTCTGGTAGTGAATCGGACGAGCGGCTACCGTTGGGACAGCAGTAGTTGCAGGAGTCCTAGCAAGGGGAACAGTGGAAGGGAGAGAAACAGAAACAGCAAGGGAAGCAGCAACAGTGGAAGAATCGGACAGAAAGAAGATGAAGAATGGG